GCCGAACGGGCGCGCGGCCGCGCGCGCGAGCGATTTCCAATGGAGTCTCTTTTTGCGTGGCCGCATGATTAACGATTGAACGCGCTCGACTTCCGATCCGTGCCGCCTCGACATGCCCGGAACGGTAAGGAACGCTCGTTCGCGTCCTCGATCGTATTTGATATTTATTTTCCCCGCTCCCGCCCTCGTTCTTTTCCCTCTTTGTCCGTTTCGCGCCTTCGAATTCGTTGATTTATCGTCCGGCGCTGGTTCGGGCGTCGTTACAAAATTACGGCTTCGACACGGCGACGGAATAAAGTACGCGTAATCGATTGGCTATTTCTAATGGAAGATGAATTGTCGGTTCTTCTTGCGAAAGGGCATTCGAGCCGTGGGGTTCCACGGTTATTACGTTCTTCGGAATTACCGATTCGGGGAACTTGGCTTCGAAAAACTAAGACATCGTCGGCATTTTCCTGTCGAGTTAATATCGGTATGCAGTACACTCCTTTCGCCTTAATTATGCCTGAGCATCATTGAATAGAACTGTTTTCTTTGTCGAGGAATATTCATCTCGAGTTTCTCTTTGCGACATCTTTGCTTCAGCGCTTCGCTTTTTTCCGAGAAATCTGTTAGCTTTGCTTGTTCACTTCTTTTGCAAGAAATCTGTTACATTCACTTGTTCACTTTTTTTCCCGAGGTTTTCAGATGTTTTCTTAAATTCTACGCTTTTTCATTGAAAGTGTACGCGCTGTTTTGATACGAAAGTCACATCGTTTGCGATTGCAATCTTCAGGACTTACTGCGCCATTCATCGATAATAGAACTGTACCCATTGCGTTCGAAGGGAATTAAACTGTAACGTATCGATAGTGCGAGTACACGGTTCATTGTGCTGCTGGCGTAATAGTCTTAACATCCTGTTGAGAGTGTTACGTAAGCAATATTAACGGAAGAAGAATGAGATAGCTATTAAAAGCGACTCGAGGACCCGGTATAACGTCTTTATTCTTGGCGTGACGAGCGAGTTCCCGAGTTTTGCGACGTGTAGCGTATTAGTTATGATTTATTAATAGTCCTAGCAACTTCGATGCAGCGGTAAAATTAGTGTCCTCTCCCGATGGGGCTTGTACGATCCGCGATACCGTGGGTTCGCGGTTCGCGAGCATGACGCCAATTCGCAATTAATGCATTCAACGAGACATTTATCCGCGATCCCGATAGAAGCGAAAGTAACGGAATCAGAAAAGATGACGAAAGATAACGAACGTTCGGAAAACGAAACGGGATATTTTACATGCCAAAAGGATTAGTCTCTGACTCCGGTGTTTTACCAGAGGAGCATACCCGGCGAGGGCATAAATATGTTATTACCAGACACCGAGCAATCAGAGCTTATTGCTCTGAATCCCGGGAATCGAAGCGTCAAACCATTCAGTATAAAGTCCGCGAGACTTCGATTTGGCATTGATAAAGTCACAGTCAATGCGGATCTATTTTGTCGGGAAAGTTTCAACGTCGAAATTCGAGTCGGACACTCGCTACCGAATACGCACGGTAGATCGATTCCGGGATCAGCGCGTGGAATTTACGCCGCTGTCTGTGAACCGCACTTTACCGTGATGCAACGTTCAATGTAAATTTTAATCTAACGGTTAAGTGGCTCTTTCGTTATGATGAAACGCTGAAAAGCTATACGGGAATCGATCGGATAACAGGAATTCCACTGTTTAGATTGGCGATCCGTTTGAAGAGGGAAATTGGATTGACGTGCGTGCTAACGGATGGTCATTTTGCGAAGAAGAATTACAAAGTAATACGAACGCCGATCATTCAAGTAATTGCCAATCTAGTAACCAAATAACGCGGCCGGATAAAAATAGACGAGCGCTCGCTTCTTCCCGGCAAATAATCCAGCCGAACCGCATTAACAAATATTAATATTGCTTCACCGTGTGCCTATGCGGCGTACAAGCGCACCTAATTAATTAGGTAACGCCGCTTTTAATAGGATTACTTGCAGCTCCATAAACGCTGGATGGCCGGTAAATATCAATGAATTAAGATATTGCCGGCTAAAATAGAAACCCCAGATATTTCCCATCGCGCGGCCGATCCTATCGCGATCTCCGATAGCTATCACCTTATCAAAATTCTTTACGAATAACCGATGCACATAACCTCGTTACTATACGTGCATTCCCGTGAAATTCTGGGGGCGCCAGTGATTACATCTGGCCTCTTAAAAATATTTAAATTATTCACTGTATAAAGTATCTCGTTAAAGTAGCGCGCAAGGCGCCTAAACAACACGGAGTAACGGTCAAATTAAGCGGCGAACGACAGGGACGCGAGTAAACATCTATAAGCGTACCGCGAAGAAACCATTATTTCCAGCATATAATTTGCCGGTTACGCAAGTAAAAGTGGCTTACGAGTAGCTACGGGTCTTGTCATCGCCGGGTGTATAAATCATACAATTGCACGGTCCGCGACTCCTTTTCCCGTTCGTTAAAAAGAAAACCGTTCCGCGGAACAGGAAAAGGAGTCGATCCCGGCGGTAGACGGAATCGGGATACGCGATTTCTCCGGTGCCACGAGAATCACCGGCGGAAAGGTGAACGCGTTCGTACACCCCGACGATAAAGATTCGCGTGTTATGCCCTGGACACGGGGTTATCTGTCCGGTCTGTCGTTTCCCTGGTTTCCCCGTCGCCGAGGCTTATTCGCGATCGAAGCGCCGGCGCAAAGTGAAAGTCTCCTATAGGCGGACCGAGAGCTATTCTTTTCACGATTGTCTCGTCAACGGGCGCAGCGAACGGGTTCGCGCATTATCGTATCGCGTCGCGAAGGAGGAAACGCCGCGCGGAGAGAGAATGGATGCTGAGGCAGCGTCGTTGATCCCGAACGATCTCTTATCCAGTCCCCGCGAGACAAATTCTCACGCCTCGCGGCCGCCGCACACATCCACGCTCTCCCCGACGCTACAGGTTAATAACGCCTGGGCTCCGCTTCCCTCGCGGTATAAATTAACGGCTCGACCCAACCTGAACGATCCTCCGCTCTACGCGCGCCTCCACTCCTGTCCCCTGCATCTCGCGTGGCTCCTCGCTCGATTCGATCCGATCGTTTCACTTTCACGCACGCCGGGGAAAAGAATCGAGCGGCGCCGATGGAAACTGAACGCGTAGCTTTTTGCCCGTTCGACTATTAATACCGAGCAACTGATAAATCAACCACGTTATGCAGATCATTTCGCTTTTCCACAAGATTCCCCCAGACACGCGAATCCGAGCGACTCTAAACTGGACTTTCCACCGCTTCGCATTTTTATAGTCACCGAAGGGTGAAGCCACCCCTGATTGCGAACTCCAGGTAGACCTCCATTGCTACAAACGTGGAAGATGGTACCAATGACGCGGAACTTGGTTCACGGATAGATAATCACACGTTGGGTCTCGTTGCGCTCGTGGAATCGTGAGGAGACCTGGTCCGGCTATGGCACCCGAACGCGGTCCCCTAACGACCCACGGCACGCCGATAAGTTTTCGCCCGGTACTTTTTCCCCCGCTCGATCCTAGAGGCGAGAATTCCGCGAAACAAGGTTTCGCCGTTGAACAGGTCTCCTCGTTGTGCTCACGGGTTCTCTTACGTGCTTTCTAATGTAAAGTATGCGCCCGGCTAATGGCTTGCAGGGGAACAGATATTGCATCGGGACGCCGTGGCCGTGGTAAGGTGCCACGGAAGGCAATTAATTCCTGCGGCAGACTTCCGTATCGGAAAGAGATAAACGTTGGACGCTCTTGGTCGGGACCCTAGGATCGTATATTACGCCGCCGGTTTTGCGAGGGACTTTTTCCGCTCGATCGGCCGCGTGTGCTACGCCTGGCGATGGAACCCAGCGGTTTTCGAGCGAGAAAGGCACGGACTCCGAAACCAAACGCGACACCTCGTCCTACCCGCCGTTTCCGTTCTCGTCGTGCACCCTCGCCCCTTCCCCCGAGCGTTTCGCCCTTGCCACCTCGGAGACAACGCGCGGAGCGTGTCGGGATGGTACCGCCTTGCAGAACGAGTGGACTGGCGCCAAGTAGATGTCGCCACTACCTATTTGGCCACACAAGGACGCGATCTACACGCGCTCGCCGTCTGACCGCCCCGGGACTATCCCCGGGTCTATTTCTTCCCTATTCCGAACCCCCCTTAATCGGATACCTTAAATTCCATCCGACTAATTAACCGCGGGTTATGCTAAATCCCGACTAAATTTAACCGGGTCCGCGAGCTGGCCCCGCAAACGCGTCGAGCCATTAATTACCGTGCATCCTAAACGGACGCGTCGCCGCGGAAAAATCTCCGGAACTCCTCAGAACTCGTACCGACGCTGTAATTACTCCGTCCGCGTAATGTCTTACTTCGCGGTGATCTGAATCACTAATCGGACCGCGCCTTGAACGAATCGCGACGCTGACGGACGTACGTGGATCGATTAACAACGTTTGCGCTTACACGGTTTCGACGATATTAATGGTGCACCATGGGTATATCATGTGAACGCTGGTATATCGAATGGTATCGTGATTAGATTCGCGAGACTCGGGTTTGATTGGATATAGTCATTTGTTTAGCGTGATTGAACTGCGGAAGTTTATGAAAATGAATGTGCATGTAGATTGATTTATAAAGAGGAATATTAGTAATCGTATCGAAGCTGGTAAAAGCTTTTACTTCGCTGCGCTATGTAGGTTAGGTATTGTTATGGAGGCATATACATCCGCAGTCCAATCGTGACAGTCATTTATTTCTTGTACCGTTGAAGATTGATGCTTTACGCTTGCATTGGACAGAAATATATTGTATATTAATGCTTATAATTAACTTACATTTATGAAGACAGCTGGTCGAAGGCGGCACCGTGACACAACACACTTTCGCACATCCAACTTATGAAGATGGCGCTATAATTTCAAATTTTGCCGCTTGAGGGATTGGCGCGCTTCACCTGTCACCGGGAGCAGACCAATATGGCCGCGTTTGAGTAATTGTCGCGTGTTGTTGCTCTTAGACAGACGGTGGTATTCTGTGTGTTTTTATTTATGACGCGTGAAATTATACATGGTGTTTCATTAAGTGAATTATAGTTTCGATAAATATATTAAATTCATAAGCATTTTACGTAATCTTCGATTATATATATCGGGTAAATAAATCATGTATCGGTTTGCGTCGCGCTAGTATTGTCACGCGCATGCCCGCGGGAATGTGTATGCGGAAGAAGCGGACTGTTTACTAACAAGTGACTGAAGAACTTTTTTTGGGCTGATGAAGATCAATGTATTACGACTGCTTGAGATCGTAAGTCTTTCATACTTTTTCTTCAACTAACCATCATTGTACTCAATACTTATTTCAATCAATTTAACTAATGCCTGTTTTAATTCTAAAGCGACCATGAGGTCCTGCTAACTTTGTAGGTTATAGTAAAATGGAAATATATTATTTAGAATATTTCGAAAATATTTATTGTTATCTTCAAGATTACTATTACAAATTTATTTTTAATTTATCAATTCGATTACTTTTCGAAAAATTTTAATAAGGTTCACTTATAAATTATTGTCAGTACCTTCGTCAACGTCAACGTGTTCTTATCAAAAGAAATATTAATTTCCCCAACTCTTCGACGCAAATAAATTCTCATCATAGAGACCAAGAGAACACAAAGAAACTGTAAAGTACTTACACATCACACTAGACATTATTGCAAATCTCGAATCCTAGATCTCTCGATCGCCATAGATCCTATAGAAGTCTGAAGGAACGCTGACTTTACCGACGTCAGGGAATGATTTCTCTGTGTATAAACGTGAATACTGTATACCCACGTTCTTTCCGCCGGGAATAAGCAATCGCCGCAGACATTTTATCAGATAATGAACCCGTATAACTGAAAAGAAATCAATGGTGAAGAACATGCATCGATATTGACGGGCAGGCCCGCGCGACAGCAGAATGCAACGATTGTCTCGAGGCGATGCGCTGCTCTCGAAGCTCGCGGACATAACTCAGCTGCTCCGAACAAAAGTCAAGGCGAATTATTGTGGAACGTTGGTATTCAGAGACGGTTTACCCACGGGCAAAGAAACCCGGCTCCTTCCCCGCGGTAGAATATCTTGATCTCGCGATAAATCGCGCGATGGTGGCCACGATCGACGATGAATTAGAGAATCGGCGCGGCTTTGACGCGTGTAATCGACAGATGTAACAGAAGGAAACTTTCTAGTCGATTTCTATGGTAACCTCGCGGAAAAGGCACGCAAATTGATGCAACAATGTACGATCATTACTGCGGAACATTGTAGAACAGGTGCTGTTCCATCCATTATCCACTTGAATCTTAATTAACCCTTTGCACTCCGAACATTCTCGATACCTTCGTTCGTTTCTATAGCGAAGCTTTCAAGAACCTAAAATTTCGTTTCGAGAAAGAGAAATTACAAGTACTCGTGGATTCCTATTTTGAGTTTCTTTCGTCAATTTGCGTCACTCAAGTAAGAGGAAAGAGCATTTTACAATTTGAAATTGATCATATGATGCGAATTATGTGTCTACAGTAGAGCCAACGGACAAAGGGTTAAGTTAACTGGAGTAAAAGTAAAATGGAAAAGAATTATAAGTTTGTTAGAAAAGATAAGTAATTGATAGTTGAGAATATTAGTGTTCATTTGAGTTTTAAAATGGTGAGTGTACCCGTGAAACACAGTTATTTGGTTAACCACTAACATACAGCGTTAGGAATATTCTCGCGAGTCGAAGGTGTTCTCAGTTTCGATCATGCTAAGATTAACACAGGTTTCTCGTATAACAATGTTTCATTGGTCATCGAGTATCCTTTATAATCGTACGGAACGTTGCCATTATGTAACGGGAACGCTTCGGGGGGAGAAAAAGCTGTAGAACAGCGAGCTCGGTCGAATTATCGCGCCTCCTCCTCGTTCGTTGTTTATTACGAGATGCGGAGATAAGGGGACGCGCGTTAAATGTTTCATTACCGGGCGAGCTCGCAGCAACGCGCGCCGGGATTGAATGTCCGACACATTGATGCAGCTTACGTAGCGGCGAAGTACGAGCCGCGTGCGATTCCAAGATTTTTCGAATCTCGCGTGAAAGTATAGTCTGATCTTTACCCGGAGAAATTTATTTAACGGGGAAAATGGAATTTTTTATGTTCGTTTCGGTCAGTTCCCCGCGCGCGGAGAAGGCTCAGAATGCAACGTAGCTCGTACGTTAGAAACTAGAAGCGTTGCCTCGACCCGAGTGAATGACGGGATGAGAAATGGTAGTGGGCAAAGTGAAATTCGTCGGCAATCGGAGGGGGAGGGAGGGGGCATACGGCTCACGCGTGTAAATTATGCGAGTGTGCAGGTGCTCGGTTAATCGATTCGTTGTACATGGACGTTATTAGCGATACGAGGAAATGCTCTAATAAAAATTAATGCACGTGACTTCTTCTGCTTCTCCGCGAGAGCGGATAGTTCGGACAGCGCGCCGATCGAGTGTAGATTTCCAAGCACGATTTACGCGGCGTGCTGCTCGCAATCGGATCCTTCAAAAATCGTTCGACCGGCTAATGGAAATTATTGACATCCGAGAGGATCGACGGCAATTCCGACCACTTAGGTGAAATTTATTTTATTGGATAAAATGAGCCAGTCCGTATTTCAACAATCAACCGATATTTTCACCGGGCATCGTACGGCCGCAATAATAAAGATCTATAACCGCCTGGGAACCGGTTACCAGAAAACGGTTCAACGCTGATACACGGTTAAAACGCATTTTACAATGTTACACGGGCGGTCGCGGTTACAAGCACCGAAGAGGAACGGCCGCGAACGGTCCGAGGTATATTTCGCTTTGTCTTATCCCGACGTTGGTAAGGGGTGTAAAATGCGTGCGGAATACGTGCTAAGACAAGGGTCACCGATACACCTGCGCCGGGGCTTCTAGAGCGCGATAATATAGGATTCTGATCCGACAACTGCGACCGGTATCTTCTTCCCCCTTCGCTCGTTCCAGCCCATCCAGGGAACATAATGCCGTGTAGAGCGGGCACTCATAACGCCCGGCGAACCTGTTGAGATATAGCCCGGGTAGTGTTTCAATCGCCGGGGCGAACAGAACGTCGACAATGATACGCGCGTACGTATGCAAAACCTATTACAATATTGGATACCCGGCCCATGCATCACGATAGTCGAAATAAATCAACCGCGAACAAGCACCGACGCGGTCAGCGGAGAGCCTTAAATAATTTACTAATTTTTCAATAGGCCGACCCTAGAGGTCGCGCCGCGAGTACCGCGTAAATCCCTTCGGCTATCCCTCTCTGCCCTGGTCTTTCTCTTTTTCTATTCCTCCCCGTTCGGCGAGACCACTCTCCCGTTGAGCGAGTATTCCATGGGTGTTGGAAACCGGCGGGAAATCCCGCGGTCGCTCGAAAAAATCCCCGCGTATCCCGTGCGTGGTGCACGAGGCGGCAATAAAGAGCCATACCTCTTCCAGCGGCGGGCTCGCGAAATGCTTCCGCAAACCGAGCAACAAAACGGCGTGCTCGTTGCCTGGTGAACATAATGTAAACATCCGAACGAGCAAAAATCCTTACTTATCGCCTTCTAGTTTCCTCGCGCGGCTAGGGTCACGGCTATCCCTCCTGCGGGAACCTGGCGTGACGTTCGGTTGAATTCGTGTAACTCGCCGAGTTTTATCGGTCCCCGTTGCGCGTCGGATCTCTAGCCTTTCTTTCGGCCGGCGATGCACAAAATCGTACAAAAGCGGGGGCATCCCGAACACGGACAATGCCACTTGATCCCTCAGCCACTGGCTCTACGTCTCTGCTCTAGTCCCCTTTCCCCGCGTCGCCACTCTTTTCTTCTTTTTTATTCCCCACCCCTGCCCTCGCTCCCCACCGCTCCGTCTCTGTCTCCCTCTCGTTATAATGGGCAAACACATAATAAAGAGGGTAAGCGAGGAGCGCGTACGCGATATGTGGGGCGTTTAACAATGGAGCACACCTGAGCACGGGCCGGTGCGTTTGAGGTGGCTTTAGGAAGAAGGTAGAGAGAAAGAGAGTCGAGGTACCGCATGGTGCATCGGTATGAAATGTGGTGGGACGAAAAACGAGCGGTCCGCGGCGGTGAAGAGCGAGCGGGGCGGAACAATGCTTTCAACCTTTTCTTCTTCTTCTACTTCTTCTTCGTCGTCGTCGTCGTCGTCGTCGTCGTCGTCGTAGTCGTCGTCCTCGGCGTAGTCCTCGTCGGATGCTGCCCTTTTTCCCTTTCCGCACGACTCCTCGCCACCGAGCCGGGGTGCCGGCACGATGCTCTCCCATTTGTTCGCGAAACACCGAACACAGCCAGT